CACCACACACACACCACACACACACCACACACACACCACACCACACACACACACCACACACACACCACACACACACACCACACACACACCACACACACACCACACACACACCACACACACACCACACACACACACCACACACACACCACACCACACCACACACACACACACACACCACACACACACACACCACACACACACACACACACACACACACACAACACAACACAACACAACACAACACAACACAACACAACACAACACAACACAACACAACACAACACAACACAACACAACACAACACAACACAACACAACACAACAGACCTATCCCACAGATCCAGCATTTCGCCTAGTGCAACTTTGCGGCTTGCCATGTCTGTGTGGGACACCGAAACGAGGAGACAACCCAATCAGGTTCTTATATCTTCGAAATTGAGAACCAGCCCCGCAACCACATCTTGTTTTCAAGAGGTGATGCTGAAGATGGGCAATGCCCGTAGTGGACAGTCAGAAGCCCAGGCTGCAAACACATCCGTTGACTGGAGCAGGATTTCCCCATTTTGATGCCAAGCTGAAGCTTATTCCTCTTGCATGACCATGGGCCTGTCAAACCAGTCCGTAGCAGGGACACAGTCTCGGGCGTGTCATGCTGGCTCTAGGTGTGAGAGGGTAAGGGCACAGCAGCGCGAAAAGCTTAGGATAGCATGATGGAAGAACACGGTCAATTGACAACCAATATTTATTGCTTTTTCAACGAACCAGCCTGTGTGGGGTCCGCACTTGCGAACACATACCAGCCTTTGCCGGGTGTTGCCAATCCGACGGCAGGCCCGGCAGTGGCCGGCGGCCCTGGTTCTGCTTGTGGAAGCACAGCGGCGCCGCAGCTGCAACAGCGGCCCGGCTCAGCGGGCAGGGAAGGTGAAGTTTTCCAGCCAGATTGCCGTTTTTTGGGACAGAGTGGGATTGCAGTATCAAGTGACCCAAATTTTGTGCAACCCAGTTTAACCCCGACCCACAAGTAAGTAGGAATGCCATGGAGGACGGGGGGCAACAGAGGTTGATCTTTGTGTTGTTGCGAAGGTCAAGCCCCTACGGTTAACCTTGGCTGCCATGCAAGTGCGTGAGCGATGCAGCCTTGTCACTGCATGTCACTGCGGTATCCACGAATAACATATGCTTGGGACTTGGGATTCCGGCAGTCCTGCACATATTAGGGCAATCTCCACCCCCCGGTCAACAGGCACTGCACAGCCCCCAGGCTACTGCATCAACGCAGCGATCAGCGCTTGCGAAAAAGGCAACGGCGGAGAGTTTGGCAAGACATGTTGCACTGCAGTCGCTTGAGTCACTTGGAAAACTTCCATGGGCGAACTGCCTGGCTTTTGGCGATACTAGACGCCTCGACACATTGAATCGAGATCTGTTCTTTCTGGCGCAACGCGCGTGCGCAGGGCAGGTCTTGAGTGCATTGTTTCAGCAGATGGCAGGGTTTCACCATGCCACACCTAGTGCATGCGCAGGTGGCCAATGGATTACAGCTCTTCACCTTCTCTCGCAGATGCGGCAGTTCGACTGAAGACATTGGGGTCCTGCTGAAACTGTTGGGTTGTTTCTTTGCCAAGCGATGCGGGCTGCACAAGCTGAAAGTGTTTGGCTGCGCTATGTTTGGGCAACAAGCGCGAGGCTCGCAGAGTTCTTGCGTACGCCAACCGCCAACCAGTCTGTTTCTCCATGGGCATGGTGTTCATGAAAGGAGCTGTTTCATTACTTAGGGCGCGCGCTTGGCCGTGCTGAGGCCACTTGCCTTAGGTTTTAGTAGCGAGACGCTGTTCGCACGGTTTGAGGCCACAGTCCCTGCAGCCAGACGTCTTCAGCTATAGCGGCGCTGCCTCTGCCTGCGAGCCTGGCGCTGAGAGTCCGCAGCTTCCTCGTCCCCCAGCAGCAGCAAAAAGTCAAAGGATACTTTGTTGCTGGCATCTGTTTGAAGGGGGGAATCGAGTCAGGATTCATGGTTCTGCTCATAGCTGCTCCATTTGACCGGGTGAGAGTGCGCATGCTGTCATGGACGAAGATGAAGTCTGGGCAGCCCAAATGCGTGCCATGCGTGGGCATCTCCGTTCACCGGCGGACAGTCCGCGTGACTTTCTGTGTCACTCGCCAAGCCAAGGAAAGGCAGAGCGTGGACCGCTGCGCTTGAAGTGCAGTGCCAGCTTGAGAGCAATCGCGTAGAGCCAAACGCCAGCTCCTTAGCACAAGCATTCAGTTGAGCTCTCGAAAGCTTGCGCATTTGGAAGTCTTTGGATGTGTGTTCCTGCATTGCTTGTGCCAAACACCTGGAAGAGGTGTCAACCAATGATCAAGCCCAAGGGATAGATGCCATGCGACCAGAAAAGCTCCTCAAACGTAAGGCCCTGCCTAGCATCCCTAACGCGGCTCTTGCCAGGTGGTCAGCTACGGGGCCGTTTTAGCAGCTTGCACCAGCCACTGGAAGGGGGCTTTGGAAGTGCTGTCCAGGAGCCTTGTCAAAAACTTGAGCTTTAGACTCTAATAGAGCCAAAGGAAAGGCATCGATGCGCAGGCTTTTCCAAGACTACTTTCAGGGCCCCATTATATAGCAGACTCACTTCCTATGGCTTCACAAAAAACAAAGCAGGGCCCGGGGGCAACCACAAAGCACGTAAGGATGCGCTGCTTCCGGATGACACCGAACTTGATCAGCTGCTTGGCCATATTTTGCAGTAGCCAAATCGATGTGAATGTGCTTGTGATTGATCGCGTGTTTTAGTGTCACGGGTCCGGCCTGAATTGATTGCAGTGGTTCAGGCTACAACGCGGCAGTGAATGCTTGTGATCAAGGAGAGCTTGCAATGACCTTTGCAGCTGGCATTGCCCAGAGGGCCATATTATCATGAGTCCGGGATTTACAGGATGATTCTGCCTTGGCCAGTTGTCTCCAACAGCTCCATGGAGAATAGTCTTGCAACCTGTTGGGTGGCCGAATGAAGCAAGCTCGGTGGCTGCGAGCAGGAGCGCGTGGTGACTTGGCCCTCTCACTTCTGCATGAGGCGTCCACTGGCAGCAATATGCAATAGCTTGGGGAAGCATGTGCTTGCTGGGGTTTCCGTTGCCGGAGTCATGCCACGATGCCATGCTACGGATAGTAACAGCTTAGTTCCACCAAGCGAGATGCAAGGCAGTGCAGTGCGCTGATTCCAGATGCCACCTTCTACAGCGTGGCACTGTCGGCTTGCAGGCCTGCCTTTTCTGGCGCATGAGTTGGACTTCATGGGTATTGCAAGTCAGGGCATTCAGCGCTTGCCAACCCTGGAGAGGGTGAGGGAATGGAGAACTGTGATAATCTCATATATAGGTTGGATAACCCACGTCCGGTGACGTTAGTCTTCGGAGGTCCCTTGTGGCATGAACTGCCCCGTCCAACTGCAAAACGACCACGGTCGGGGTAAGTAGCCTTGTCAGCTGGGAAAACACAGCTTGCTCGATGGCAACCGGGCCAGACTTGTAACAAACATGATGACGTAAACGACAACGTTTTGCACAGAGATGGCCTTTTGCACTCATTTCCTCACATCCACACGCCTTCTGAGTGCAGCGGCTGAACAGTTGCGATTTTTGTGCTGGAGCTGCCACTGCATACTTCGTGTACTAGTGTACTACACTGGTACGGAACAGTTGCGATGTTCGAGCTGGGGCTGCCAAAGAGTAGTTTGTGTAGTAGTGCGTACTTTGTGTGCCATTTTCGAGCTGAAGCTGCCAAAGAGTTGTTCGTGTGTGCAGCGAACTGGTATCGAACAGTTGCAAGTACTTCGTGTACTGCGCTGGTACGCTGGTACTTAAAAGTTGCGATTTTCGAGCTGGAGATGGCAAACTGTACCGTACTGCTTGCCTGCAGAGAAGTTGCGATCAATCCATACTTCGCGCGTGGAAAGAAAAGTTGCGATCTTCGAGCTAGAGCTGTGCTTACACGTGCTGAAAGGATGAGATTTCTTTGTGCGCTGCTCGTTATTTCGAGGTTGAGAGCACGGAAACACACAATATGGAGTTTAAAAACGATAGCCTAAAAGAAGGAATTCTGAAAGCAACGGTGTTTTGATACAACCTCATGTGGTAGCTGGGGGAATGACAGTAGTTCACTTCACTACCGTGCTCGGCAGATGTCCGCAGGTGAAGTCCGTGACTGCAGGTCCACAGCAGGCTGTTACAGTCCACTATTGTCGGCATGTGGCTGCAGTCAAAGGTTGGAAAGAACTGGCAGTTGTGAACGCGGGCGGGGTGTGTTTTGCAGCATGCCAAAGATGAGAAGCGGTTGGTGCAGCCACAGAGCCATTCTGACCACAGCCCTGCTATTGACTCTACATGACCTGACTTGGATGCCTTGCTGGTCCTGTTATGTGGGTCATTCCCCCCTGCATAACCACAACGGTGCTTCACAACTGGTCACTCTTTCTTCCGTTTGCTTACTTGGCTGTGTAAGGGCCCATCGATTTGCAGCGCCCGTGTCAAGCCTGCCAAGCTCTCTCAATCAGGGGCAACAGCTGCCTGACCACATTCTCTGGGTTGATGTCTACGCCAGTCGGCAAGAGCTGCAATCCCTCTCAAAGATTCAGTTGTTTTTCAACATCACACTATCCTCGCAGCCACTCAGCCACTTCACCCAGGTTGCTTTGTCCACAAAATCGTGCGATTGCACGAGCGTGTTCCCCAACGTGGCTCCAGGCGCGGCCGCTTTTGGCAAACGGCTTTGCAGCTGAACGACCTTTGCGGGGAGATGGTGGGCGGAATCTTTGCTCTGCAGGCAGGCAGCGTTCTCTGAATTGCTGTGTCGGCACGCCGGAAGCGGTTGTAAAGCTTCATTTCGCTTAGATTCATTGGCGCCACTTGACTCCTTGGAGCAAGCTGTGAACTCAGGCCCTTTTGTGAGAGATGCGTCTCAAAATAGGCTTCATTGGCATCAATAGAGCCGATGTTTGTTTGGACCTTTGATTTGCACAGACTGAGCCATTGCTTTGGTCTTCTGGTCCTTTTGTGCCTGGTATCAGCACTAAACTATCCCAACGCGGCCCGAAACCAACCCTACACCACGATACAGCAACCCTACATTCACCCTGAGTGCAACTGAAACCCGCCTTTCACCAACCCTACACCTGAAACCAGGAGCGGCCCCGCACTTTTGCTTGGCAGTGCCTTCCTTGTCGATCTCAAACATGAGTGTGTGAAGCTTTGATCCTTTCGCATATTTCTGTTGCTTTCGAAGCTTTGCCCGAGCCACGGCCGCTTTGCTCAGTGAATGCGACCGCATCGAGGCGTGCGACGTGGCGCCAACGTTTGCGGCGCGCCTCGGGGCAGAGCTGCGGCAGCGGGTGGCTCGAGCGGAGGCATACCAGGCCGTCCAGGGGCTGTACCTTCGCAGGAGGGTAGTTGGCTCATGCCGCACGTAGGGATGACTGCCTCTCTGCACTCCCTAGGCAGCTTCATAGACAAGAGCAATGATTCAAAAAAGCCTAATCAACGTGCAACCGCCGCCACGGCCAAATGATCCACCACCAGAATCCCAAGAAGACTTTCCAAACCTATCAGACTTGCATCAAAAGCTCAGCTACCTATTATTTTGGACGGTGTTGGCAACACTCCCGTCGCAAGGGAAATGATTTTGCTTACACAGAGTTCTTTAGCCCGGCCTGGGTAGTGTTTGCAGGAGTAGCATGGCATAGCGTGCAAGAAACATAATTGTTTTTAGTGCAGGGGCTTGGCCTTGTTGAAACACGGCGAGCCGGCGTTCATCTTACTAGTCACTCTGAGCCAAGCCTTTTATGCTGCAATAGCACTTGTTCTCCTGCGCAGGTTTTTAGTGGCGTCGATGAGCTGCATGAGAGCCTTGGCCAGACAGTGAGCGTGGCGGTGAGAGGCAACCAGTTGGCATCCATGTTCGCACAGAAAGCTTGTCAAACTTATCCAACCCCGAGAACTTAGAAGGCTTGAGAAAGGCATTTCGCCTGAGTTGCCACTTTGGCCAGCACGATGCATGTCAATCTCCGAAGGATGGCACACGTTCGACTTACGCGGCTTGAGCGGTTTCTCCCCGGTAGAGACTTGAGGCGAGACCTCTTGGACCACGGCACGGCTGCCACCGTGACCCGCCGCTGCTTCCGCGCCGCCTTGGGCAGACTCTGCGCACTAGGCGGGACAGCTGCCAGACCAAAACGCCAATCCTTTTCAGCTCCAGTAGTGGGAACCCCGAGTTGCTAACCCTTTGCTTGATTGCAGTGGTTCCCCTTTAGTGGGGATTGATCACTGTTGAGGGAACCCTTCCCCATCAATAGGATGGGTTTATTGTTCTGGGGTTAGCATTCTGCCATGACGCCACGTATGCCAAACACCTACTTGCCTGACAGGCAACAGGCGACAGCAAGGCGCGCGATGCACTGTCGATGTCATGCGGTTCGAGGGTCGCTGGTTGTAGCTCGGGAATATCCGCGTCATGTCCGGGGGCGTCAGTGCACATGAACACATCTCTCCATATTGCCTCATATGTGGCTGTGAATGTTGATGTTTTGATGGGGGAAACGGTCACGAACCCCCATGCAATTTCCTGCCCCAAGGGGGAATTTGAGGCGCCTGGCGCTTGCAAGAGCCCCTGCTGGAGCGGCAGCCAAGTCTAGGCTAGCAGCAACGGGGCTGGGATGACAGCTTGGGCTGCTGGGGCTACTGGGCTCCGAATCAGGAAATGAACGGAAATGGCAGTTCACCAAGTTCCCAGGGAAAACTCGTGTGACAGACAAGATCGACTGTCCATGTGTCTACCTGAAGATGTGTTGCACCGCGATGAGCCACTGACATAGTGTTCTGTTTGGCTTCACGGACGTTGACAATACAATTGTTGGAGCATGCTGCAGACAGCCAGCACACTTGCTGATCTTGCTGTAGTCATTCATGATGCGCGTTACGCGCCAGGCTGGGTGTTCACCCAGAAGGCCCGAGGACTTTGGACAGCGGGTTTGGGTTGTTCATGACTCATGACATGCCGACATCAGCGGGAAAGCGAAACGCATGGCCCCTTGTGTTTGGCGGCCGTGGGTGCCGTTGCGGCTGCAACCTAGTAGGGTGAACCTGCTAAAGCAAACAGGGTGGCAGAGAGGAGAAGGTAGCTATGTGACTTGGGCCCACGCTTCACCGACAAATTGATTGCTGGACTTTTGAACTGATATTTTGCCTGAAAACCTATCAAACAAATTCGGGGTCATGACTCCAATTCTTAATGAGCCATGGAGACTCCAGGTATGAACTTTGCGAGGGAGCCACCTCAGTGCTAGGGGCTGTGCCTCTGGGTGGGCCTCCCATTGGTTTCCGTTAGGGGAATCCCTGGATTTGTGAGGATTTGGGACTCGTTTAGGGTGTTTGGGATTGAGATTTGCAGGTGTAAGCCACAGATGGGCCGGGCAGTTCTTCTTTGGTTTCTCTTCCACACTCGATCCGTTTAGGGAGTGAACCTGGCAGTTTTTCTTGAGTTCCCTCCCTCCCCCCAAAAGAAACACAAACAGAAGAAGAAATAGATATTTGCCTGGGGCCGCACTAAATGTAGCAGGCAGCATTTGTGCCGCAGGTGCGTTTAGTTCGGTCCTCTTCCAAATGGGTCTCACCCCTTTCAGGCCCAAACATCGTTCCAAATTCCAAGCAGGAGTTTTTGCAGGAGATGTCTAAGTCAGTTTTGCCTTTGTGCTGATTTAATTTGTGTTTAGTTGTGGTTTAACGTTGCTTCCAACATGCCCTCTGGCGCTGTAAAAAGGCTGGAGTTGGAGTTGCCGTGGAATTTGCTGGTTTAGACTTGGCTTAGCATTGGCTGATTCTACTTTAGTATTTGGGGCCTGGGAAAAAACAGTTTTTATTCATAGGGTGCATTTATTGACTTGGGAAAGGGATGAATAGTGGCGAGTGCTAAAGAGCACTGTGACTTACAGTATTTGGGAATCTCTCACAGCTGGATCTGACAAGTCTTCCATGCACTCTTGTATTCCAGGCTCGTTCTTGGAGGTGATCAGGCTATATTTATATTTATATCTCCCTTTTGCCAATAGCGAAAAATGCCATCCGTCCCCCCTATCAGTAGTCGAGGGCCTTGCCTAGCAAATAATTGCTTTCATACATACACCCCCCCCTACATTTTGTTTCATCTTCCATCTTCTACCCTTATTCGTTATCATCATTTTTCTACATTCCTTTCTGTCCATCTCATCCGTTTTTTTATCATCAGTTTTCCAAAATTTTTGCCATCCTTTTCTCCTTCCTCCTCGCCTCATTCATTTCACCAACTACCTTTCAAAATATCATTTCCTCAATCTCCTCACCTCATCCATTTCAAGAAAATAATTTTTGCAAAATATATTGCAAACAATATTTGTCATCAAAAAAAATCGAACTGTCTAAACACGATTTGTCCATTTCCCGGACAAAAAATAGAACAGCAACAACATCACTCTCCTCCTTCGTTTCATCACTTTTATCATATATTTTAATAGGCGTGGTCCTCCTTGTAGGATTTTATCTTCAATATATAAAACGCTATACTTACATTATACTTATAACATATAATATTTTACATGTTATAATTATAGTATGGTTGAGAATTATGGGTTAAAATAATGGTCAGGTAACAAGTCTTCAAATATGTAATCTACATATTTATCAATATCACCAATGTCTATATATTTGATATTGTCTTTTCCTATTATTGAATAAATATATTCCCAAAAGAATAAATACAGCAATAGACATACTTTATATTTAGTGTTGTAGTAATACCATACATGATATTTAGTTATTCTAAATTCATTCAAGACCTTGTTTATTTTATCTTTGCTTAATAAATGCCAATCAATCTCTTCAAACAAATCACGAAATTCTTTAGCAAATGATTTATATGGTTTAATGCTTAGTTCTCCTCCAAACCTTTTAATCAAATCTTTATTATTAAAACAACTCATCAATGTCTTTTTCAAATGACTCTCTATCAATTTTATGGTAAACACATACAGGAAATCGTTTTTGATATCTCATAAATAATTTCAATTTTAATTGAAACTTTGTATATCCCTTATCCTTATATTCTTCAACAAACAACTTTTCAAGGTCTCTTGTTATACAGCATTGATTACAATATACATCATATTCACTTATTTTATTACATAGATTGGCGGGTAATAACTTATACAATGTTATATTAACATCATTCCTTTTAGTTTTACAACATTCGCACTTTGAATAATTAAATAACATTTCCACTGTAATATATATATATATATATAGTGTTTATTTCTTTAACTACTTTTTTACAAGAAATAAAATTACATATTGAAATATAATTATAACATATACTATTTTACATGTTATTATTATATTATGATTATAATTTCAGTTCAGGATAACTATTTAATTGATATGTCTTACTTCTTTCATACATCATTTTAAATATAATATTAATATCTATCACCATATTTTTAACATTAAACTGTTCACTTTCAATATATGATTTAATGATTTTTTTTTACATCAAACCCTTCCTTTTTATGATAAATCAATGCCCATAATATGTAGTAAATAATTTCATACTTTTTCTTGCTGATTTCAAGAAATGCTTTAACATAATCATAAGGGTGGTATTTCATACACAGTTAAAAATATCAAAATGGCATCCTCAACATTTCTTTCATTAAACCTTTTAATGTCCAAATTATATTCGATTGCTTCTTGGTAATATCTCCAATTTCTACAAATTTTACATAAATTTTCTTTACCCAAAGAATAATCAATGATATTATTAACTATTCCATTAGGTAAATTTAATATATAATTCCATATTTTCTTTTTTGAAGTGGCACCAGTCGTATCATTTCTTATTGATATAACTGTTGATTTCGGTTTCAACCATTTCTATTATAATATATATAGTTCGTATAGTTGTTATTTATTTAAATATTTTTTACAAGAAATAAAATTAAATATTGAAATATAATTATAACATATAATGTTTTACATGTTATTATTATAGTATGATTATAATTTAAATTCAGGATAATCAGTTAATTGATGATTATTAAATTGTGTATATATCTTACGTCTGTCATGCATCAGTTCAAAAATAATATTGATATCTCTCACGGTATTTTTCACATTAAATTTTTTGCTTTCAATTTCTGATTTAATGTCTTCTTTTACAGCACACCCTTCTCTTCTACGATGTAACAATATCCATAAAATGTGGTTAATCAGTTCATACTTTTTCTTACTGATTTTGAGAAATATTCTAACATAACTATAAGGTTGTCTTTCATACACAGTTAAACATATTATAATGTCGTCTTCAACATTTCTATTATGTCTTCTTTTCAGATTTAACTGACATCTGATTAATTCTTGATTATCTCTCCATTCCTGACAAATTTTACATTCATCTTCTTTGCCCAAAGAATAATCAATAATATTATTAACTATTCCATTAGGTAAATTCAATTTATATAATTCCATATTTTCTTTTTTGAAGTGGCAACAGTCGTAGCATTTGTTATTGATATAATTATTGATTTCGGTTTCCACCATTTCTATTATAATATATATATATAGTTGTTATTTATTTAAACATGTTTTTACAAGAAATAAAATTAAATATTGAAATATAATTATAACATATAATATTTTACATGTTATTATTATAGTATGATTATAATTTAAGTTCAGGATAATCAGTAAATTGATGATTATTAAATTGTGTATATATCTTACGTCTGTCATGCATCAGTTCAAAAATAATATTGATATCTCTCACGGTATTTTTCACATTAAACTTTTTGCTTTCAATTTCTGATTTAATGTCTTCTTTTACATCACACCCTTCTCTTCTACGATGTAACAATATCCATAAAATGTGGTTAATCAGTTCATACTTTTTCCTACTGATTTTGAGAAATATTCTAACATAACTATAAGGTTGTCTTTCATACACAGTTAAAAAATATTATAATGTCGTCTTCAACATTTCTATTATGTCTTCTTTTCTGACTTAACTGACATCTGATTAATTCTTGATTATCTCTCCATTCCTGACAAATTTTACATTCATCTTCTTTGCCCAAAGAATAATCAATAATATTATTAACTATTCCATTAGGTAAATTCAATTTATATAATTCCATATTTTCTTTTTTGAAGTGGCAACAGTCGTAGCATTTGTTATTGATATAATTATTGATTTCGGTTTCCACCATTTCTATTATAATATATATAGTTGTTATTTATTTAATTATGTTTTTACAAGAAATAAAATTAAATATTGAAATATAATTATAACATATCATGTTTTACATGTTATTATTATAGTATGATTATAATTTAAGTTCAGGATAATCAGTTAATTGATGATTATTAAATTGTGTATATATCTTACGTCTGTCATGCATCAGTTCAACAATAATATTGATATCTCTCACGGTATTTTTCACATTAAACTTTTTGCTTTCAATTTCTGATTTAATGTCTTCTTTTACATCACACCCTTCTCTTCTACGATGTAACAATATCCATAAAATGTGGTTAATCAGTTCATACTTTTTCTTACTGATTTCAAGAAATGCTTCAACCTAATCATAAGGTGGTATTTCATACACAGTTAAAAAT